ATAAGCCCAAAAGGGCAGCACTGGAAGCGTAAAGAAATAAAACCAGCTAAACTAAGCTAAATCAGAGGGATAGTAAAGACATATTGCTGATCTGGCATCTCACTAGACAGGCACTATTTATTTTGAATCTTCTCATGCTGTGGGAGATCCCTCCTGTAATTCCATGTACTGGAATGTTGTTTGTTGGTTGTTGTTTTTGTGGCAGCAAAGTCTTAATTCCCAAGCCTGCTCAGAACTAGATTAACAGCTGTGAATTCCATTTGTGTAACAGAGCAACCTGCCTAAATAGTTAAATAAGCTTCACAAACCATGTGATTTTGTAATAGGGCTTTATTCTGACCTTGCAGTGGTATAAATCAAATTATGGCCAGAACAACTACCTCCACTGCAGTTTTCTTGAGTACAAACCTGAGAGGAATCAGTGTCTCATTAGGCACCTTTGTTAATTAAAATAGAGCCATGATCAGTTTTGAACAACTTCCCTCCCTCCAGGAGGACATGGCACCCTCAGGTGTCTGTGAACAGTCCCAAACACTAACTGACATTTCACATGGTGAGAAGTATTCTAGATCTGATGTGGGAATTCCACAACTCCCAAATCCTCCTCACCCCACCCCACCCCAGCAGGTCTTAACTAGGACTACAAGTTCTGTTAGTTCCAATAAAGGAAACCTAAACACGCACTGGGTAACTTATTCATGGTTATATCCCCCTTGTATTCAGGTTTAGATAACTAAATGGTTAAGATTCCCACATTCAGTTTCAAATTCTTGCAGTTTTCTCTGTTTCCCAGTTCCCTGCCTTTGTCATTTCATTTCCTGCTTCAATGGAAGAAGAAAATTACTGTATCAGAGAGCACAAGGCTCTGAGTTACCAAAGCACCTCTCATATGCTTGGACAAATACTCAGCTATAACACAACTCTTCTCAGCTATCCAAGAAATTCTGCTCTTCTATATTTACAACATAAAATCTTCCTTGATTTTTTAACACATCACTTGCCCCTAGTTTCTGTCAAAAGAGATTAATTCTGCATAAGATAGATTAATTAACAGTCTGAGACAAAGCAATTCAGTCTTTCAAATGCCTGAACAGCAGAGAATAATTATAATGCAAAAGTTTTCTCTGACTTCAGCAGCAGAATCATTAAAAACCTAAAAATTTTAAGAAAGTGATTTTTGCATCTGAGCTATCCAATTTTCAATCTGCTGTGATTCATTGAATGCAAAGACTTCCAATTGAAACTTCAGCCTTTGTTTCAGCATTTTAAGGTTTTTCAGTTAACTTTTCCATAATTTCTTTACTAAACACTAAGTAAATGACACTGTGAAGGTACAGAAGGCTTATGTGCCTTTTTCCTATGTGCTATATTCCTATATTTCACACTGTAGGTGTTTCACCAGCCTCACTGGTTATCACTGATAGTGGAAAAAGGGAAGCACAAGTATAAATAGAGATATTTATTATGGTATTATGGTATTTATAAATGAGAGATACTTTCAGAGAAAGTTTTGGATTAATTTTTTCAATAGGGTCTTCCTCTTGCATGCATAGTAATTTTTTTCCACAGTAATGTTTATATACAAGAAACAAAATTTCATACTTAGAGCAACACCTGAGATGCTAAATTAATCACAATTTGAGATTGTAGAAATTCTCTTTAAAATTGAGATTTCATGATGAGACTGGAGCTTCACTGAGAATTAAGACAGCAGGATCAAAGACTCAGTGTGAGAAATACCAAAGCCAGAGCTCTCCATTTAACTTTAAATTTCTATCTTGTACATACTCCATCTGATAATGTGTTGCCAATTAAAACTATGAACAAACTCTTCAAAGCAGTAGAAGCTTAACTACATGCTCCAATTCACATCATGTGAGAAAAATGTAACACAAATTAATGTTCTAAACTTCCATCTACACCATCTAATGCACACCTTGGAACATTCGCAAGGAATGAAAGATGCTCCTGAACTTTCATTTTACGTTTGTGCTTGAAGCTGCCAAGTTTTTAACAACCCTGCATTGCTAAGTATGTTTGAATTTGCAGAAAGATCTCTTTCACAAAATTGCCAAGTGAATAGATTTAATTTTTATCCAGGAGATCCAGTCCTGGTGGAAAGCCTGAGGAGCATTGATACCAGCTGTCATTTGTGATCTCTCCTGTGCTCAACCATCTTTGGTTTTGCAGAACACAGAAACTGCATCTTGACCTAAGCTGCAGGGCTTTATTGTTTCCAAAGTCACAAATTTTCACTTCCCAACAGAAAGAACATCCTAAAGGACCTGATGTCACCAGCTGCTGTTCCCTCTATCCCTGCAGTGAACAGTCACCCAAAAATATATGCATGCAAGAAAGCCAGGCTGAGGGTCAGCAGAAGAACAAACCGAAATTGCTGATGTTTATCCTTCTCAATTAACTCTCTGATCATGAAAGTTCAGACAGGCTCCCAGGAGTGACCAACTACAAAAATGAAAACCCTAACTGCAAAGGAGGAGAGGGCTTGTGCTATCACCAGACTGTCAAGTTCTTAATATCAAAACTCCAACATCAAAAATAAGTATCTGCAAAACTTTTTAGCATTTCCTGCTCATGGAAAGCATTGATTTGGAATTCCTGTAGTTACACTCTACCCTGACTGGCTCAAGGATATGTTTTACAACTGAAAGGTGAACACAATTTCAGTGAATTACACACAGGATCTAACCTGTCCACCGTGCTGATATTATTTTTACAGATATGTTAACTCTAGCTAGATGATATATTCCTCATTAAAAGAAAAAACAATCTATATGTCTAGGAAGAATTAATTCTAAGGTTATTTTTGTTAGTCTCCTGATGATTGCTCTGCTGTATAGATTAATGTTTAATGTGTAATTTGTCTTATCCATGTTACTTTGTACTGCTCACGTATTGAGCTCCTTGGATAAAACTTGCCCCATGGTCTGCTCAGTCCACAATATAAATAACAATAATTGATTCACAACATTTCTCATTACACAGGCTGGCTATTAATGATTAAGCCTTTTATGGCATGCAGTTCTACAGGCTCTACATGAACAAATGGAGCACCAAGAATGATATTTAACATTTGCTTTTATGGTGGTTTTCTTTGTAACACCACCCAGGGAGTGGTCCAGCACCTTTTATAAGCTCCATGACTCTTGTCTCACAAGACTCCTTCTGCACTGTTGGTGCCATTTTGCTGCTTAACAGCTGCAAATTTTGCCTGACATTATGGTTATCAGATTTGGACTGAAGTCACCTTAGCAAGACAGCTTCTTGTACTGTTATTTCATTGACAAAACAGAGGTGTCATGTAGAAAAGAAATCTTTAAGAGAAAATTGAACTATAAAGTGTGATGTGCTCCTACAAGGTAAATGGAGCACCAGTGGTCAGTGACCTGGACTGTCCAGCTGGAGACACAGAGACACACAGAGATCTCGGGGGGTTTCTGTGGAATTACATCCCTAAATCCTTCTTTAAAAAACCCAGTCAGAGGCAGTGACTACCCCTGGTTGTTTGGGGTTTTTGTCTGTTTGTTTGGAACAGGCAGGAAGCTGCTGGTACCTTCTGCTTCCAAGGCTGAATAGGCATTTCCCACCAAACAGTAAACAGAGAAATGTTTGAGTAACCTTTGAAAGTAGGCTGAAGTAGCTTCTATGCCAAATCAATCACCTGCTGTGGTGACTGGAATTCTCTCTCTCTAGTTTCTTCTTTCTGGTTTAACATTTTGAATCCTTCCCTTATCACTCAATTTAGCAAAATAGGGTAGAGAATTTTGGTTTATTAAAAATAATAAAATATTACTTCTTTACACCATGCAGAGGATGGTTAGTTCCTCAGATGGGAATTAATGGTATTCAAGTACAGATAATGCTTACACAGGGACAGTTCTGTGCACACACAAACCTTTGGAGCAGATGTTTTGATGGTAATTTAATCACCTCAGTCTTAAATCTTTTCTTGGGCTCCTAACTGTTCAGTGAATCTGGACCTCAATATCCTAACTAAGAGCATTCCAGGAATCAAAATCACAAGATTTTGCCACTGGGGCTCTTTCCTAAACACAAATGCAGCTGCTCCTCCCTTTTGTGAATGTTGGATTCTGCGCTCTATCAAACTTGTACCCTCTGGAACAAGGACCACAGAGGGATTTGCTGAGGCACTCAGTAGCCAACCATTCTTTTTCTCTGGTTTTCACATTTTTTCCCTTTCCTGCCACTATCAGAGCAAAAGCAAATTTGCAAATCTTAGTGTGAGAGAAAAATATTGTTTTTAAATAGCACTATCTTTCTCAGAATGTAAACCTATTAATTCTCTTTTATGAGATTTCTCCTCTAGAGTCTCTTCCGAGATAATTTTCTTTTATTTGTCAACTTCCTAACTGTAGAATATTGCCAGTGTCATGCTGCCAAACTAATAGGTGAGAACTTGCTATTCTCAAGTTTTTCCTCTGTAAATTGATATTTATCAATCCTAAATTAAAAAGCAAAAAGAGCTCATAAAACAGAGCTATTGTAAAACAAAGTCCCCAGTGTTTGCTTATTCATTTCAGTAAGATTTGTTCCAGTGGGCTAATTAAGTGTGGACTCTAATAAGAACACCCAGGCAATCTTTAAGCACTTGGCCATTCTCACACAGGAGCAGTGCCTGACCTTGCAATCAGTGGATTTCCTCTACTGTAAAACCTTACTCATTAAGGAGGTTCTGGAAGTGACCCTGGGTGTCTTTCTGACTAACAAACATCCCAGTATAAATGAGCACAGCTTCACTGAGGTTATTATTCACTGATTGATGAAATTGCTTTGTGATCCTGATTAAAATTAGCATTCCTCTAATCTAAAGGCATGCTGCAAACTATAGGTACCTCTTGGCAAACTGAGAAGTACAGAAATAATTTCAGGAATAGCCACCAGGATGGTTAAAAGATGTGTTCTGAGAAAGGCCTCAGGTGATCAATAATAATTTTGTTCATTGCTGAAGTTCTACTTCTTACCATGCACTTGCGATCATCCACCCCAGATAAATCCTCCTCAAACTCCTTTCCTACATCAAATTCCATGATGTAGTTTCTAAAAGTGCTTAGTGTTTTAATGATCATATGATCTCCGTTCTGAAGGATTTCTTTGTCAGGCTTTAGCAAGTTTGCTATTTTTCTTACAGCAACATTTACATCTGAAAAAGAAAGAGAGTTATTTTTATCCAGAAAGTCTTCCAAAAGAAGAAGCTTGTTGCTTCTAGGGAGAACTGAAATGAACAAAGATAAATAGATGTCCAAATCTTTCAAACTAGCCTTCCCATCCAGAAAAAGGATGGAACCTAATTCTTATAGCTTAAATAACTTAATGTTTCAATTTTCCAATTATGTGAAATCTATAAAAAATACCATTTGTATTTGACAGTTAATAAGGCCTCTAATATTTCTGCAGAGATACTAACACAACATCAAATACAAACACACAAAATTGCATAAAGTACTACACTGAATCTTTATTAAATATGAAAATTTTACTGCTTTTAAAATTATAGGAGATTCTTTTATGTTTGGAATCCACTACATACCTCCTCAAGCTATGTAGTTTAATGTCTGTTAATGTAAGCTTCAAAATGCTAAAAGGTAGAGGCTGCTTAAGGCAAAACAATTTTGCTTAAGGCAATCCTTAAAGTGCGTTTCTGAAAAGAAATACTTCTCACAAAAATGACTTATGGCTGTACAAGAAAAAATAGATTCACATAAAGAATAAGAAAGGTGGCATTGATTATTCATACAAGAAGTTTGAAGGGAACCTTACCCAGTGCTTTCAGATACTCCTCAAAATTGTCATTGCTGACCATTTTCCAGTACCCATTGAAGTCTGCAGGCATCCCTGCTCCAGGTGAATGTCAAAATCACTGCCTCAGAACCGTGGGTTGATTCTGCACCCCACAACTCACTGCCTTGCTTTGTGGCAAGTTGGGACTCTGGTTTCTTTTATCTCTTTTTTATACCATGGAGCTATGCAAGTCCTTCTAATCCGATTATTGCTGAAGTGCTGCTTTTAAATCCTTCTACAAGGCTGAGACTTTGAGATTTCTACCATGACAGCAGGATGACTTGATTTAAAACAAATGAAATATTCACCTTTCATATCACTGTGGAAGGAAATCCGTTTTAACCATATTACTCTTCATTCTTCCTGCCACTCAGAAAAAAAATACAAGCCATCCAAACAGTTTTAGTTTGGGATATTAGCCAAAGCTATAAAAGTTTGGGATATTAGCCAAAGTTATAAAAATGTGTCTTTTTTGAGCCAAATTCTTCTTCTTGAATAGGTTTCAGCTACTTTATGCTTTCTTCCAAGAAAACAATCGTACAGACCCTTTCAGTCAAAGCCATTTGTGTCTGGTATTCCTTTAAGTTGTTCCACGAGCTCCTGAATCCTAAAGAACCACCCGTGGAAGCTGCTTGGCCAGCTGGGGGCTCAGAAGCACCACTTAGGTGGAAACTTGTACTGGGAAGCAGTGGTTGCTCTGTACAGTGACAAATGCTACATCACTGCTACATGAATACTTGCAGTTGAGGAGCTCTGAAACACAGAGTTTTACACTTCATAGAGTTCTGGATTCTCTGAAAGTGACTCCTGTCAGAAATGAGACACTCAATCAGCATAACAGGCAACCAGCAGAGAGGAGCATGGATTTTCCCCAATAACATCAGAGCTCAAGCACTGAGCCTCACAGATGTTTGCAAATGGTACAACTGAACCCCTACTGGATATTTTATCTACTCTGGGGCTTTGGCAATTGCTTCCTCTTGAGAAGTCTCTGGAACAGAGAAGAAAAGAAACCCACTTGTCTTAGGTTGCAATGCAAGAGGTAACCAGAAGTGTGTAGTCTATCACCATCTGTTAAAACCAGGTGGGGCAGTTTTCTTTTATCTCTCCCCCAGCCAACCCTCCCT